TGACGGCGTTCACCAGTCCTCGATAGTGGGGTCGCGCCGACACCTGACCGTCGTTTACTGGCCATCGGATCCAAACGCATAGACAATAGTAATCAAAATGTTAGTTAAAGGGTTACAAAACACGTGCCAAACATGTCGTCGATTACCCGCTAAACGTATTTTAAGCAAATCTAATGGATGTAAGACTAGAGTAGAGGTGACTCCGCCGACGACACCGGCCATCAGATGCTCGTACTTCACGTGTGCTCTGCATTTGGTCAGCCATGAGGTGGACGGCGGCGACGAAGAGTTGTTGCCATTGGTTATTGTCTTCGGCTTATTGTTGCCGTCCTTACCATCGCTGGCATTATTAGCGCTCATTATAATGGGATTCACTTGAAAACCAATGGATCCGACAATCAGTTGATTATAAATCACTTTTGGATTTCAACGAAACGAATAAATAAATGAATGAATGAATTAAATGTGAATTCAAAACACAATTCATTGGCGAAAACATAACAACAAATTCAGACATCATTTGCCGATCAATGCATTCATTGAATGAGAAGTTTCAACACTAATGTTGTTATCATTCATACGAGTAATGAATGCGAAAACAGATCACAAAAACGATTGCAAAGATATTTTCAGCGATAATTACAATTGATTTGCGAAATGTTTTCATTCAAAACAGTTGTTGTGTTTCGTATTGTGTTTGCGATTCAATGGCAAACGCGTTGACAATACATGACATGTGTTTAACAGTGAATACGTCTCCCTCTCTATCGGCCCAAACGTGTCGTCAGTTTGAGTGGCAATCGTTGGCAAGCATTGCATCACAAGTGACACAAACTTTGTGCCACACAATCGTTGCCTAATTTTTAATTGATTTTTTTAAAATACCTGTTTATCGCTACACATATAGAGAGCGATACATGTGCTGATAGTTTGAGCTTTTTTTGCCCCAATTTAGCGCAAATGTTAACAATGTTTGATTGAAATGCCGTTGTTTTAAATCGGTATACCATTTGTTGGGCTCAAGAATCTTTTGGTGGTAACGCTTCCCAAGAGTTTGTTACTTATTATAAATTAAACTATTTTTGAGATAAAATTATCACATTTAGCAAACACTTAGTATACATATACGGTGTATATGTACTGACAATTAAGTTATGAAAACAAAATTATATAAACTATTTATGAGCCGAAAAGAAGCAGTGATTTTCCAGAAAACACTTGTCTCCAGATTTGAGTCCAAAAGACTGTAATTATTAGACAATATTTTCTCACCACAAATATTGTGCACACATTTACACTGTATTTAGTTCTCAATAATTGCCAAAACATTGGATAAGAGACTATCGATAAACAAAACTGATTGCGAGAATGTTGTGTCAAATCAATAATCAAAGAAACCACAAGTGAGTCAACACTTGGTTTGATTGATAGCATGACGTCCAACACTCCGGAGGACGAGTTGCTACCAGTGGTGCGAACACTGGAGGCTCTTCTCGTCATTCTTGCCATTGGTTTCCAATTGTCGTCCATTTGGTTCACATGTCGTTATTTTGTGGACTCTATTGAACCGGAATTCAAAGACAGCGCTTTCG